CAGGCATCAATTCTACTTCTGTATTCCTTAATCACTCTCTAGCTTTTGCATGCATATGAGGCAACTGAAAATACCATGGCTAGAGTCAGGTGCACCTTAGTCTTCAAAGTAATAACTTTTATTATTTTTAGACATTTTAAAGCGATCTTTTGCAATAGAAAAAAAAGAAAAAGAAATGAAAAAGTACAGTTGACCTTTGAACAACATGGGCTTGAACTATGCAGGTCCTCTTACGCCCAGATGTTTTTGAAATGACATGTGACACCAATCATCTCTCATCTCTGCAGGAGCAGTTTGTCTCTCTCATAAATTGCATTATCACAGTAAAGAGTGAACTACAGTGGTTCTTGTGGATTCCTGGTATGGCCCTGTAGGATAAGCACTAGGCCACAAGGTTGGTTTGAACATTAAGGTCAGCGCTTCAAACCTACCAGTCACTTCTCAGAAACCCCATACAGGGTCGCTGTGAGTTGGAACCGTCTTGATGGCACTAAACAAGTGGTTCTCGCAATCTTTTTTCATTGGGTTTACTACAATACCATAAACCTTGAACAACACCATGGGTCCCATAGTAAGTGCCAATGGTGGTGCTGGAAGTGCTCCCAAGAAGCAGAGAAAAGTCATGACATTTCAAGAAAAAGGTGAATTCTTGGTATTTATAACACAGATTGAGTTCTGCAGCTACCCACCATCTTGGTATAAATGAATCCAGCATAAGGACCATTGTCAGAAAAAGAAAAGGAAATTCATAAAGTCATTGTGCTCCAGCAGGTGCAAAAACCTTGCACATTTTAGGAAATACCTTTTGATCTCATATTGAAACTGCAGTAATTATGTAAGCACTATACAATACACATACAAGATACATGTTATCAACCACTGATGTTATTGTGAAGCCTTCTAGTCACCAGCAGAGTATTAGTAATTAAGTTTGGGGGAACAAAAAGCTATTAACAGATTGTCTATTGGAGGTGGGGGATAAGGGGGAAACTTGTGTCCCTAATCCCTGTGTTGTTTAAGGGTCAACTGTTACATGTTTTGAACAGAAATTACTCTAGGGGAGTCGAGAGGTGGCTGGATGAGGCTGGAGTGTGGCTTCTCACTTTACTTTCTTTTGCATTGTTTACCTACTTTACAACTAGCAGAGCTTACTTGACCACAAATTTTTAAAAATACTAATACAATACAAATACAAAAACAAGCAAAATGGAAATCTGAAACAAGTAAAACTTAAACAAACAAAATTGGCAATTGTCACTTGCATCCTTAAGCCAGATCTTTCTATTGTCTTTTTCCACAATGGCACCACCTTTCTCTCAGTCACCTAAAGAGAAAACATGGGAATCTTTCTATGATCCCTTCTCTCTCTCTCCCTACTTCACTCATTCAGTCAGTAAATATTTACCAAGTATTTGTTGTTGTTGTTGTTGTTCCCAAAGCTATTTTGTTGCTGTTGCTAAGTGCTGGAGTCGGTTCTGACTCATAGAGACCCTCCCTGTACAGGGTTTCTGAGGAGTGGCTGTGAGTTTAAACCACCAACTTTGCAATTAACAATCCAGTGCTTATCCTACAGTGCCATGTTTTTGTTAAGTGCCCTCGAGTCGGTTCCGACCCATAGCGACCCTGTACAGGGTTTCCAAGGCTGTAAATCTTTACGGGAGCAGAAAGCCTCATCTTTCTCCGGCGGAGCTGCTGGTAGTTTCGAACTGCTGACCTTAAGGTTCGCAGCCCGATTCGTAACCACATGATACCTAGGAAATCAGTGTTTCCTCTGAAGTAATTTGACAAATATAAAAAAACAAAACTGCCAAACAATTATAAGTCCTCTAGCTTCAATTTCCTAATACTTTTGATACGTCTCCCACAACCTAATTTCAACTACAATTGTTATGATTCAAACAAGAGATGATGAAGAATTACATTCCTGCCATTCTATTCCTTCCAAATTCTTCCTCATACCTCTCTTGGCCATCTTCACACTATCACTAAAGTGAAGTCAATGCCATTCTTCTGGTGGGAGTTCTTCAGTGCCTCCATTATCTTCAAAATAAAAAAGAAACTCTGTAATATGATATGCAAAGTCCTTCAAGATGCCTACCTCAACATCCACTACTTCCCTCAACATGTAGTCCATGTACTTCACACCAACTAGACTGAACTGCTCTTTGTAACCTTGTTGTTAGATACTGTTCATTCAGTAGGTTCCCACTCACAACAACCCTATGCACACCAGAACAAAACACTGCCTGTCCTGCACCACCCTCACAATTGTTCATATGTTTGAGCCCACTGTTGCACTCACTGTGTCAATCCATTTCATTGAGGGTCTTACTCTGCTTCACTAACTCTTTACTAATATGCATGATGTCATTCTCCAGGGATTGATCTCTTCTGATAATGTGTCCACCGAAGATGATGAAGTCCTGTCATCCTCACTTCAGTACACTGGCTATATTGTCTTCAAACACAGATTTGGTATGTGGTTAAACACTTGGCAACTAATTGAAACGTTGGTGGCTTAAACCCATCAGTTGCTTCGTGGAAGGAAGCTGTGGCAGTTCCTGTAAAGACTGCTGTTATTGTGGTTATTGTGTGCCACCCTGCCACTTCTGACTCATAGCGATTTTGTTTGGGTTTCCGAGAGCAACTGGTGGATTTGAACTGCCAACCTTGCTGTTAGTAGTCAGAGCATATCCTACAGTGCCACACCAGGCCTCCAAGGCAAGATAGCTATATATAATAAAATCTGAAACTTGTTACCAGAGTTGATTCTGACTCAACAACCTAATCGAACAGTGCAGAACTCCCCACTAGGTTTTTACAGCTGTTATTTCTCCCTGATGTGGTGCTGTAGGATAAGCACTGGACTGCTAACAGCCACTCCTTGGAATCCCTGTGCAGCACTGCTATGAGTCAAAACCTGCTGGACGGCACACAACAAAAACAACAAAATAGTTTTGGGAGTCAACTTGATGGCAACAAATTTCAGATTTTATTATACATAGCTATCATACCTTGGATTTCTGGTATGACACTGTAGGATAAGCATTGGACTTAAAGGTCAGTTTGAACTTCAAGGTCTATGGTTCAAACTCATCAGTCACTCCTGGAAACTCTATACAGGGTCGCTCTAAGTCAGAACAGACATGACGGCACTTAACAACAACAACTGCCGGGCCACCCTTCCAAGTTATCAGTCATTTCAGCAACTGTGAAGAATTACTAAAGTTTCTTGTATATCCTTCAGTTTTTTAGATCTTTTACAATATTCTTAAGAAATTCTTTGACAACCTAGCAACTTGATTTCATATTCAGACTCCAAATAATACACTTCAATACTAAATTCTTCACTATTTAGATTAGTTGCTAATGTTTCACAGACATGAGTCTTAATCCCAATTAGACTGAAAATTTCGAGATCATGCTTTTGACTTCTGGAGTCCCCAAAATTAAGCACAGTCCTGAGCCCCAAAACCAATGAACAAATACTTCCAAATCAACCTAAAAAATAACATCAAATTCTAAACAAAATTACCAATACTTTTATTACATTGTTTTTGTTAAGTGCTGCCGAGTTGATTCCAACCCGTAGTGGCCCTGTATAAGGTTTCCAAGGAGCAGCTGGTAAGCTTGAACTGCTGACCTTGTGCATTAACCCACAATACCACACCAGGATTCCTTTTACATATTATCTGTAGATAACTGTCATCTACTGTTTTTTAAATTCTATGTGAGATACTGACCAGCCAACTTCTGGATACCTTGTTTTTAAAAATGTACAAATAATAAGCAGTCATCTAAGGTATTGGTCTCTCAATGTGTAGAAGAAAAAAGAGTGATGAGAACTGAAGATGCTTGTTATCAATTAGTCCAATGAATGAATGGAACATGTGAACATCAGGTTCCATGACTCTGAGACCAGAAGAACGAGATGATGCCTGGCTACCACTACCAACTACTCTGAAAGGAATTACATTAGAAGGCCCCAGATAGAGTAGGAGAAAATTTGGAACAAAACTCAAATTTATATTTTAAACCAGGCTTTCTGGTTAGAAAGAGACTGGAAGAACCTGAGAATAAGGCCCTCAACCAACCTTTAGGTCTGGAAAGGAACTTACCCTCATGGCCCAAATACTAGACAAGCAGTAGTTAGGTGTAAAGGGGGAACAACAACACTACTTATTTACGTTAACCATGAAATGGTCATTCATTAAAAATCAAAAGGGCAACATTTCCCTAAGGACAAAGTTGAGAAGGGATGGAAAGAAGGGTAGAATGGAACTAGGAACCGCTGGGAGGAAATGGGGTAATTGTTGTATAGAGGAGATTGCAATCATTGAGATGAAACAAGGTGTATGATTTGCGGAATGTAAAACTAATAATCTTGTCTGTGAACCTTCACTCAATTCACAACAAAAAGTTTTACAAATGTACTTAGAAAAAATACAAGTATACACACATACAAAATATAAGTGGTATATATATACAGTATATGACATGTTATACATACATACATAAATGAAATACTGTGATATAAGCAAGCTCTTTTCTTTAAAATACATTAATTAGAAGAAACATTGTACCCTAACCCCATCTTTCCAAATTTACAATTTGCATTAGAAGTAACAAATCAATGATTATAATAGTACAACACTACAACCTTGCTTCATTGTTACAAAAATAATATGTTTCATTCACAGACCACTGAAGAAACAATTTGTGTTAGATTGTCATCTACTTCTTTTGCATTTTATATACGGTTGTCAGTGAATTAAAATATAATCTAGGTTTAAGATGTGTGAAAATGATCTTTTATACCAATTAACTTCATGCATTGTAGAATACAAAATATTGATCATTTTGAAACCATGTCTAAAAACATAGCAGAGAAAATAAGAACTTAAAAAACAAAAAACAAGATTATATATTATCTATATATGACATGGTTCTGAGTAGAATTATTTTCAAAAAAAATTGGCAAAGCTGATGTATTAAATTACCTGTAATCATTCCGATCATCAGTTTTTATTCCAGGCCAATCTCTCTTCAGATATTGACTAGCCAGCTTCTGGATACCCTGTTAAAAACACACATATGTTCTAAAATAAGTATTATGGTATAAAAGAGGCTCTTTCCTTTAAAATATATAACTTAGAAATTTTATATTTCCAAATTAATCATTTGATTCAGAAAGTAAAGAATCAACAATAACTTTGTTTCACTATTATCATAGTTCCCTCTGGTTTCCGTTTTAGGGGAAGGGTTAGTAGAAGAATGAGAAAACGGAAACTTAAGTGATTTATTTGCTTTTACTTCACCAAATTACCCGACCAGCATAAAAGCAAACCGCCTCTTGTATGTCACAGGGAGCAAAGCTGGTGTCCACCTCCCACAGCGCTCTTGACATGCCAGATTCCCACTGCTCCTCTGCTTGGCATATAAGTCCATTGCTAAATTCTAGTAGCCTCTCATATACCAGGAAAGGTAAAGCACACATTTGACTTGGAGTAGACAGATGTATACTGCCTTTGTACAATTAATAAGCAAACCTCAGTACTGTTCCATGTGAGTAATTTTCAAGATGGGTTTTGAGAGTTATTTCTTCCCTTTTCAAATACCACAATGACACAAATAGTTTCAAATGGTAAAATCAATTTTACAAAGAAATACATGGTCTTACTATTATTTGTAGGACCAGCACTGGACTGTGAACTACAAAGTTGGCACTTCAAACCCACCAGCTGCTCCTGGGAAACCCTATAGGGGGTCACTAGGAGTCAGAACTGACGCTATGGCACTTAACAACAACAACACTATACTAGAGTCCTGGTGTAGTGCTGTAAGATAAGCATTGGACTGATAATTGAAATGCTGGTGGTTCGAATCCACAAGCTGCTCCTTAGAAATCCTATCAGGGTCATGAGGAGTTGGAACTGACTTAATGGCACTTAACAACAACAACAACATTATACCAGGGCCTACTGTAACAGGTATAGAAGTCATTAACTTTGGACTACTTATTCTGTATTTTCAACTTTAAAAAGAAGAAATAAAATGTTAAAATGAAGAACAATCATATTAATTAATATACTACATTAACCCAGAAGCTGTTCAAGTAAACCCAATGCACCAGTCTATTAAATACCTTTCTACTAAGGTCTTTTACCAAATTAATTTGGCTTAATTAAACCTATTGTTTAATGGTCTCTGTTTACCATTCTTTCAATAAATCAAAAAGCAGAAACTGTAACGGAAGCTCCTTTGAAGCTCAGGTTCCTTGTGAAAGAACAGGGCTATAACACTTTGGCTGTACCAATGCCAGATGCTGTGCATTCTGAGAATTCACATACAACTATATATATCCAAAATACTTCCATTTACATACCCTGCAGTTTTTGGAAGCAAAGTAATGTCCCTGGGATATGTCCACTATTTTTTCACTTCTGCATCTTGTTGTTAATACTTTCATTGAAAAATCTACCCACCATTTCATTCACCTGTTGAATTCTCTTCTTTCCCATTTTTTTAAAACTGATTTTTAAATTTCCTAACAAAGTATTCAGACGTATATTTAGTGAAGTATAAAAAGTTTCATTGCCTAGATGCTATAGTTCATTAAGAGTTGAAAAAGCGTTACAATAATAAAACCTTTATTTTGTTATCCTCATCCCTTTGGCATTTATTAACTGGAATTAATCAATAAAAAATTCTTCATTGAATTATTTGGTTTCCCTGAAGTACAACTCTTAGAGAAAAATCAAGAGGAATACTTTCATTGCCTTTATTGTCCAATTTTCTGAATTGGTACAAAGGTGAACAATAAGAAATTTTAAAAATCATATTATAAATTCATGTATTTTAATAATGAATGTTTCAGTTAGTCATTATCCTTTTGATGCTATATTAGTCCCAATTGTGATCTGTGGGAGCTCCTTCAAATTGTCTACTGTATTATGATTACAATAGACTTCTGAAAGTTTGTTTTCTTTTGCAGTTCCTGTCCCAGACCTGCGATAAGCTATTTCTCCAAAGGATTCCTTTTAGAAAAGAAACCATATTTAAAGATCACAATCTAGGTACTTCCTCATCCTTCAAATCTTAGTTTGAATTCTTTTCAGAGAGGCCTTTTCTAATCACTGTATACAAAGTAGCTTAGTCTCCACAGTTGCTCTCTCTCATATTACCCTATTTATTCATAATCCTTATTATACTGTTACTGATGGATTTAAATAGTTTTATCTGCTTACTGATCATAAACTCCATCAGGTAAAGAGTTTATCTTTAAAAAAAAAAAAAAAACAACTATATCTCCAGGTTATAACAAAGAACCTAGCTTTTAGTCCAAATCATTATGCCACTCTGAGTTAGAAATCTTTGAATCAAAATTATTCCAGTTCCTAATTTTCATATCCTCAGAGAAAAAGACTGCACCAAACTGCTTAGATTATAACCATCATGATCTAAACATTTTATGGTTTTAATATAATATTAAGTTCTTTAGTAATATCACAGTCAGATTTGACCATTCACAACACTGGAGGAACACATATGTGCGGATAATTCCAAATAAATGAAATACAAAAAATTAACAGAAGTTTATTTCATACCTATAAGGCACTGCACATTAAGTTTTGTAAAGGTACATATAAGTCAAGATCCTGAATTCAAAGACCTCACAATCTGTAGAGAGGATTAAAAGACAAGCACATAAAATAGGAGACAATGCGTAGGTAACTGCTACATAAGTGACAAAATGTAATTTAAGATGAAGAAAAGGTGATCAGATACAAATCACATTTAAATGACATAATAGTAGCCCTTTCAGCTTGATGACTATATTAAAGTGGTTGCACAATATTTCTCATAAAACATGGGATACAGTATGAGCCACAGATGATGAGCAGGCATAAGAAAGCAGAAAACAACACCCAATATTTATATGAAAATAAATTAGCAAACAGATCTGTACATTTATTTCTCTTAATTCTATAAAGTATTGCCACAACCATAAAGAAATTATAAAGTAAAAGGATACAGAACCAATTTATGATTATACAGTTCATAACTGGTTAAGTTTGAACTAGAATCCCAAGTTACCATTCTTTGTCTTTCCAAAAGACATCACTTTCAAGAGGGTTTTATCTAATTCTTTATAAAAACTTGAAATGGCTTTAACATAACTTTTTTGTGTGCATTATAAGTTACAACGGCAATTTCTACAGCTCTAAACCACAAAGTTGAACTGTGTTAAACTGAATGAAGCCCTTAGAGAAGAGATGAGGGATTCATGAAATAGACAAACAGTGAAATGCTTAGATGAAAGACTCTATTCAAGTTAGTTCACAGAGGCAGGAATCATGACTTCTATGTGCTCTATGCAGCTGTTCAAGATCTACTCTGCATGGATACTCAAGAAATACTCCATGGTCATTATAGGAAAGACCTTAAATAACATCTTAAGCCTCTGGAAGCATTTTTTACTTAAATTAATTGGTCTATCCTTTACATTTGATGAGTAAGAATAAAAAATTAAAATTTATATAGCAAACAAAATTCACCACAATAAACTTGCTAAGAAAAACAAAACGACAGTTTGCAATTTTCAAAATTGTTACTTTAAAAAATGCATTCAGCATTACTCTTTAAAACGCATTCACTAGATGTAGAATATTTATTTACATTTACTTGAGCATCACTGATATATAATGTTGATTTGATTTCCAATGCTATTCACTTTGGAGGAATGGCTTCCAGATGACTATAAATAGACTCTTGGAACATCCAATAACATCCTATTCCAACTTTATAAAAAGCCAACAGTGTCTAATGTAAGACTTTCTTTGTTTTACCTCTCAATAACACTTGCTGTATTGCTCTAACAAGAAAAGCAACACAAAGAAAGCTGCTATTGAGTAGACACTGGGAAATGGACTGATGGCTTAACCTTTGGCCCATTTACCACAACAAGCTGAGGAGAAGCCTAGTCCGTATCTCAGACACAGGTTATTCTGTATATCCATTTCTTGGCCCAGATTATAGAGAAACTGCTACTTCTTTTCTGTGGTATATATTTAAAGTAAAAAAGAAATCAAACAATATATTACTTCATATTATATAATAATTCTCTTTATTACTTATACTTCTAGTTTTTATTCACACATACTCATCAGTTAAGTCTATCTGACTATATCTCCCAGTTCCCTCCACTCCATAGTGCTTTCTTCTCTCAGGCTATTGGGCTTGATAACAGCACGTTCCTGACCAGAAACCACATCAGCAACATAGCTCAATCTTAGATCGCTTATATTCTGTTGGTCCTTATGTAGTATGAAACTCTCTATAGTGCACACAAGAGATAAGGAAATGTTCCTCATGTATCTAACTAATTAATTTTAATCTTTTAAATGTTATGAGTAATAAATCACCAGAGAGAAGTCATTAAAAATGCAGAGACAAAATCAGAATTAGGCTCGTAAAGATGAAATTTCTAACACACTATAGGATAAACACACCATCATGCTCCACCTTTTATGTCTTTGAAATAAGAGCTAGTAATTCTTAATTTGTTATTGTTGTTAAGTACCCTTGAGTTGGTTCCGACTCAGACTCATAGCAACCCTGTGTAGGGTTTCTAAGGATCAATTTGAAACGATGACCTGTGGCTGGCAGTCCAGTACTACAGCTCCATACCAGGACCCCAGAGGGCACTTAGGCTTGTTTTCTCACAGGCCATTTAATCCTTACAACAATCATTTCAGATAGACAATGAGTCAGAACCAATTCAATAGCACATAACAACAATATCATTATAACACTATTATACAGCTGCGAGCTCAGAAAGAAGTAACTTGCCCATGGTAATACAGTCACACCAATTATAGATCTGTGATTTGAACCCACGATCCCTGACTTCCAAGATCATGTTAACTACTCTGCTACAGCACTTAACAACAACAATAATAAAATGAAGAACCAAACTCACTGCCATCAGGATGATTCTGACTCATTGTGACCCTGCAGGACCCAGTAGAACTTCCCAATATGCTTTCCAAGGCTGTAAGTCTACCGAAGCAGATT